CCCTTTCCCCCCTCCCCCCACTTGGCATCCAGCTGTGTGCTATCCCCGCCCCTCCCCCCTGGCTCAGTCCCCAGCTACTGACGGTACTTAGACTAAAAAAGGTTGAAAACCCCTGGTTTAGACCAGCATTTACTACTTTGTACTGTGCTCCTCTCTATTAAAACAGAAAAAATAATAATAAAAAAGTGACCTCCTTCCTGAAATCCCCTTTCTTCCCACTCCCAAACATGTAGTAGTCCTTCTGGGAAGTCATGATCTTGGGCTGACAGCTGATAATTTAGATTATGGGTACATGATTTGATATCTGGGACAAAAGCATCTTTGTCTTTTGCTGAATTAACATCCTTGACTTTAGAAGGAGTATACGTGTGAGTAAGGAGATCTGAACTTGGCTCCTAATTTCTATTTGATCAGTTTAGAGCTTAGCTTCATTTTTTTTAAAGGAGAAGGCAACCAGGGTGGCTCCAAGGACATATAATTATTTCTTTGTAAAGATACTGGTTTTACAAAAATCATAGAAATTAAGGGCTGAAAGGGACCTCGAAAGATCATAGAGTTCAACCCCTCTGCTCTGGACAAAAATACTGCTGAGATCAAATGATCCCAGCAAAATGTCTGCCCAGTTTCCTTTTGAAGACTTCCAAGGTTGGGGACTGTACCCCCTCCTTCAGAAGTGTGTTCCAGATTCTGGTCACCCTTACTGTAAAGATCTTCCTTACATCCAGGCTGAAACCATCCTTGAACAGTTTATGGCCATTGCTCCTTGTCCTCCCCTGGGGCACCCTAGTGCATAATTTTTCTCCCAGCTTCTTATATTCACCCCTTACATTCTTATAAACGACTACCAAGTCCCCCCTCAGTCGACTCTTCCCCAGGCTGAACAGTCCCAGATCCCTTAGTCTTTTCTCATTTTGTAAGAAACAATGTTGTAAATGTAATAGGGAAATTAAGGGTAGTATACATTCCTATAGAGAGACCATTTTATTTAGTTTTCTTTGTTTTTTCCCCCCCAGGGTAGTCAGTCAAGTGAAAAATTGAACTATGCTCAATTTGTCTGATGATTTTATCACAACCAAAAAAGAAAAAATATGCTTTAAAAATGGACTTTCAAACTCCTGCCAAACAATCTTCATTATACATTTTCCACCCCATTCTACATTTGGTTTCACCTTCTTTCATCTCCAAAGCAAAATGATTCCTATTTGGAAGTTGGTGGAGGTTTTGTTTTACTAAGACCAATTAAAATGGCATTCTACTAATAACTGTTTCTAAAAGCTTTATAATATGGAAGCAGCATCCCCTCTAAGCTGCACAGGTGCACTCATGCTGTGCTGCCAGGTGTGCCTGCGCAGCCGTGCATGCTGCACAACTCAGAGGGAACGCTGTCTGGAAGTCTTACTCTTCAGAGAAGTACTGAAAGCAGAGTATTAGCTGAATGTTTCTACAATGAAATGTAACTTTCAGGAACTTCTGGCTTTTCTTAAAATGATTAAAATCATTTTCAAGGAAATCAGAATTAGCTGAGAACAAAAACCAAAACAAACAAAGCAAGTAAAACAAAACAAAAACAATTGAAAAGTAAAAGAATTTGTCTATGCCATGTGAGTTTGGGTGTGGGTATGACTATGCAATTATTGTGTGCCTGTGTCTTGGTTAGGAAACTGAGCTTAAACTAATTTTTTTTCCGAGCTTTGCGCTGCAAATCAGTGACAGCTAATCCATATGTGCTTCTCATCTGTGAAATTGGAAGAATAGTACTTAGACTACTGACTTAACAGGAGAGTTGAGAGACTCCGTTGAATAATATTAAGTATTTTGGGATATCAAAGTGAAAAACAGTATGTAAGAGTTTAGTTGTTTTTTGTTATCAGCATGACCCTTGTGTGCTGAGTAGAGGTCTTGAGCTTCTTTTCATTAATTGTAACTGTTGGATGTTCTGCAATTTTGAAAATCGACCTATTTATTCAGGTGACTAAAATATGGCTTTAGATGCCTTATATGGGTACATGCTCCCCTACTGGAGACTGTATACTAAATAAGGTGAACCTTGCATTACATCAAGTATGGCAAATCTCATGTTTCTGAATTGTTGTCTTCACTTTTATCTTACTCCTAATTAGAAAATAACTTAATCTTACTTTTCAGGTCCTCATCTGAAGAGGAAACCAGTGGAATAACTCTGTTCAATGAATCCAGAATACAATTTACAATGATTAAATAAAAGGCTGTCCTGCTGGTGGCCTGTGTGTTGCATCCAGCCCATAAAGGGTTAATATGCAGTTTATAGTCTTCCGTCCAGCTACCGCTACCCCCATAGCTCTGGTTGCTGCAGTGGCAGGGTCTCTGGGACATGACAGCATGGTGGGAAGCACCAATGTAGTGGGGCCCAAGGCCCAAGAACTGTGTGGTGTGTGGCCTCCAGCCTCTTTGAAGTTGGACAGCTCTGATTTTAATATTTCAGTGTTTCTGAAACCACATATGATCAGGTTTAAATATACAGAATATAGCCAAATATAATTGTTGAAATATTCAGTTCAGCTGGTCCAAAATCCTGGATGCTTATCTGAAATAGCTATTGCTATTGCATTTGCTAATCTGGAATTAACATCCCAGATCAGACTCTTTGATGAGATTTTTGCAAATTTTGTTTCTTGTCATGCTCGAAATGCCTTGAATAGTTGTTTTGTAGAAATGCGGATTTTTACTTTTAGCCCTACCTGGATCTTGAAATACCTCTAATTGAAAAGTAATTGGGAGCAAAAAAAAAAAAAATCAAAAAAATCAAAAAAAAATCAAAGCATTAAAAGATTTAGTTTTAATTTTGGAGAATATTTCTTTACAGAGGATTTTTTTCTTGCAAATGGGCTTGCTGTCTTTAATCAGAATCAGCATGTGAGCACCAGCTATTTATTGTTCTTTAGAGATATATGCAAACTGAAGTTCAAGTCAGCTGTAGATCTGCATTGCATATGGAAATTCTGTCATTCATGAATCTTTGTACGGGCAAAATTAAAGCTTTACTTTGGAAAATTCTGCTTTTTGCATGACTCATTTTGCTTTGTATAGTTATTTTGGCTATGGACAAAATTACTTCCAGCTACCAGTTCTCAGGATGTGATCACTGTTGTGAGCAGGTTAAAGTTGATCATTGTGACGACATATTTGCATTGAATTACACTGACATTTAAATGAGAAATCTTTCCCCTCCTTATTTCCTGCAAATAGGTTGGAAATAAGTGTGTACATTCAGGTTAAAGCTGAATTCAAAAGTGGCAGGATATGCAATTTCTTATTCTTGCTGTATAACTGGATTTAAGCCTATATAATTTTAGAATTTCACAAATTTGTTTTCAGAGATCTTAACTATGTTTTTGCTTCTTTCTTTTCTTTCTTTTCTCAGAACCCATGCTTTACTAGGGCTGTAGCAAAATCAGATGCTGCTGCTTTGAACTTCCTTCTTCACAGAGTTGTAAAGTGGGGCTCAATTACCTGCTAATAATTAACTGCTTGAGATTCCTGAATGTATGTTTTTAACATCATCTATATTTGCCAATATTGCTGATGTCTAAAGGGACAGCAGTCAGAGTAATTCAGGTACATGTTGCATTCCAGTTGGCAAAACTTTAATTAAAAGGCCAAACTAGAGAACTCAGAACACTGAGTATCTCTTTGTTCAGAGTTGATTATGGGTTTGTTATTTAAAGCCAGGCTTGCTGATAAAGAGGAGAGCATTCTCTGCTCTATTATTCTTTATCTGAAAACATTTGTGAGAAGTAGGTAGCTGATTGGGATCTTATCCAAAGCCTGTTGACCTCATTGTACCTTGCATTGGCCTCTGGAGCATAGCTTTTTTTCATATAGGAACCTTTTTTGCAAAGCTTTGGATTTCTGATAAAGAGATATTTTAAAATTCTCCAATCTTCAGGGAATGTGCCACCAAAGATTCTCCGCGGAATATGTCCTCTGCCTCCATTCCCCATTTCTTGCCTTGTTTCACAGTGTCTGTGGTACTGGAACAGCTACTGAATTAGTCCATCCAGAACAGCCTAGCATAATGTCAGGATTTGATTCCATGCTTCCTATGGCCTGATCAATAGATGGTTATTCTCATCTTTGAATTTTCTTCCCTTAATTGTCAGCATTTGGAAGGCAGTGACTTTATATCTTCATTATTCTCTAATAGTGCCAAACTCCCTGCTTATGCCCCAAAAGGAATGACAATAAGTTACCT